ACGCTCTTAGCTGAAGAGCGAGCCTTCTAGTTGCGGTTCAATCTCCAACCACAGGTATGGAAACTCTTTGCGAACAATATGTGGATGACGATGATTTTTCAATTCCATGGACTCTTTGTAAGGAGCACAGGGCAATAGGTGATTATTCTATTCAATGTGGATTTCTCTTCAAAGGCAATCAACTTTGTATTCCAAATACTTCCCTTCGATAATAGCTCCTTCAGGAATTGCATAGTGGTGGATTGGCCACTCATGTTGGAAGAGACAAGACATTGGCACTCCTTCAAGCAAGATTTTTTTGGCCACAACTTCGCCATGATGCGTCTCGCTTTGTTGAAAATGTCAAGTCTGCCAAACATTTAAAGGTGTCAATCAAAACACTGGCCTATATACCCGATCCTAGATTCAAGTTGGGAAGATCTTAGTTTAGACTTTGTTTTGGGACTTCCAAAAACTAAATGATGCCATAATTCTATCATGGTAATGGTTGATAGATTTAAAAAAATAACTCATTTTATCACCTGCAAAAAGACATTTAGTGCAATCAATGTTGCAAAAAATTTCTTTAAGGAAATAATTAGTATACATGGCATTCTAAGGAGCATAAATTCAGATCGTGATGTTTAGATTGGCCACTCATGTTGGAAGAGACAAGACATTGGCTCTTCTTCAAGCAAGATTTTTTTGGCCACGACTTCGCAATGATGCGCCACGCTTTGTTGAAAATGCAAGTGTGTCAAATATTTAAAGGTGTCAATCAAAACACATGCCTATATACCCAATCCTAGATTCAAGTTGGGAAGATCTTAGTTTAGACTTTGTTTTGGGACTTCCAAAAACTAAACGATGTCGTAATTCTATCATGGTAATGGTTGATAGATTTCAAAAAATAACCCATTTTATCACCTGCAAAAAGACAATCGTGCAAAAAGACATTTAGTGCAATCAATGTTGCAAAAAATTTCTTTAAGGAAATAATTAGTATACATGGCATTTTAAGGAGCTCGTGATGTTTACGTTTAGTTTCTTAGTTGTTTCTGGCGGGAATTGTGGAAGAGATTACAAACTGAACTCAAATTTAGTTCAACTTACCAACCTCAATCTGACGGGAAGTGATAAGCTGCTCGTTGGGTAATATGATTTGATGTCTTGAAAGTGAATATCCAAAGCAATTGGACGATGTCTTGGGTCAAACAGAATATACTTCTAACTCTATGGTAAATAGAAGTACGGGCAAGACACCTTTCAGGGTTGTACATACTAAAGAAACAAATCTTACGGTTGACATAGCTGCAATTCCCAAACCAAGAAGCTCTCAAGCAATCAAAATGACAGGTGATTTTGAGGAAATGTTAAAAACAGTGAAACATAAACTAACGAGAGCAATGCGAATTACAAGCAACAAGTTGATGAACATCGCAGAAGAAAGATTTTTAATGTTGGGGATCTAGTGATGATTCATCTTCGTAAGCAAAGATTTCCTGCCGTCGCTTACTCTAAACCAAAACCACGAAAAATTGGACCTTTTCCTATTAAAGCAAAGATTAATGATAATGCATATGTGTTGACACTTCCTCGAGATTTAAACATACCCTCCACTTTTAATGCAGCTAATCTGTATAAGTATCACCCACCAGATGATGAATGTGTGCAAATTACTGAACTTGAGTCGTGTTCTTCTGAACCTGAAGGGAACTGATGCAGTTATATCAATTTATAAACATCTATTATTATATATAATAATTCTATATTAATATTATATAATACCTACTGCTGAATATTACACCTTATTTCTGTTTAGCCTATTCCTTTTACAAGTGGAGACATTTATAGGTGGAGGACACTTTTTTGATATTTAATTACAGAAACATACTCATTCACTTTCTGTTATTTGTTTTTCTCCTTTTCTTTATTCTACAGCTGCGCCAGGAGGCATTCAAAGTGCGCTCATATTTGAAAGCTTGTAAAGCAAGCACCAATGAATTGCACGGCCTACGAGGGAGATGCTCGATTAGACGAGTGCTGTTTTCTTGATAAAATTTAGATTCAGTACAATTCTTATGAATTTAAAATTCTAAATAGTTAATACCCAAAATTTAACATGTTTTTTTAATATTTTGACGCAATAAATTTATCATTTAAAAAATATTTAATTATAAATAACTATTAAAAATATATTTTATATATGAGGCAGAAGATTTGAGTGTTTGGAAAGTAAATATTAAAGGTTTGATGTTAGATATATACAAAAATATAAAAATTGTGTTATGCATGTAAATGTCTTTTTTTTTTTCCTTATATATTAAGAGTCTATTTGAGACAACTGCAGCTTATTAAATAATCTGTTGATAAGCTAGATGCAGTGACTATTACAAATCTGTTGATAATCAGACCGCTGCCAGAAAACTGTCACCGTACCTAAATAAGTGTGGTATAAAAATACTATTTTTAGTATTTTGAAAATGCATAAGCTGCTAAAATGCAATTTACCCAAACAGTCCAGGTGCATTTTCAAAATGCCACTGCACCAAATAAATTCCCCTACACAGGCCCGAAGTGTCGAATTTAGCTGTTTTCAGTATTTTGAAAATGCATAAACTGTTAAAATGTATTTTACCCAAACAGTCCAGGTGCATTTTTAAAACGCCACTGCACCAAATAAATTGCCCCAAACGGGTCCGAAGTGTCGAATAAGATTGAAGTTGATATTCAAGCAAATGTAAATGTAATTAAATGTATTGAATTTTGATGAAAATGGTATTATAATTTAGTATAAAATTTTTGGGCATTGCATGCATACCACTAAATTTTTTTTTTGTTTATATGTCTAAAAACTAATTTTATTTGTTTATATGTCTAAAAGCTAATTTTATTTTTTATTTTTATTTTTTGAACAAAAACTGAGTGTTCAATCCCGTGATATCATTACATAAAACTACTCTCTCAATTACTATATCATGAATAAGTTCATATTTATTTTATCTTTTTCGTCGGCAAAATTTTATAAATAATATATTTTTTTTTTAAGTTTATTGTTTTAAATAGAATATCTTAAATTTATGTTAGTGAATTGTCACACTACATGGTGATTTTCCTGTGTGGATGCCTGCAAGCAGAGTGAAGATTGTACTCATTATTTTGAAATTCTTCACTATGCTCCCAACAAATGGGCTAAGCATTGAAGCACTAGATTACCTAATTCTTCTCGCAAATATTATCTTATAAACCCATTCCAAGAGAAAATTCGCATTACCAACCCCCCGCCTGTTACAACCTAGAAGATCATCTCTTTCACATGTGCCTTCATAACAATAATAAATTTATTTTCATTTTGCTTGCATCAGGACCAAAAATTTAAATGAGGACATAAGTTAGATTTTCAATTTTTTGACAGAGTAGATGCAGATCGTTTGTCATACAAAGTGAGCTGTATGAGTCGAACACTGCTACAAAATACCTCCTACTGTGAATAGGGTTGTAAACGAGCAGAGCCTGAGCGAGCTCAGGCTGGGCTCGTGTTCGGCTCGTTCGAAATAGGCTCGTGTTCGAAATAGCTCGTGAACAGTATGTTCGTGTTCGGCTCGTGTTCGGCTCGATATTGGCTCGTTATAATATAAAATTATTATAAAATTTTATTTTTTTAAACAAAATTATAATTTTTTTTTAAAAACTGTTTGTACTAACAACTTAATTCCAAATAAATTTGAAGAATAAATTCCAAGAAAAAATTTGCAAAAAAAATTTTACAAAATAAAAACTTCAATACAAATGTTACAATTTACAAATTAAACAAACATATGAAAATTTAGAAAATACAAACTTTCACAAAAACTTCTATACAAATTTACAAAACTTTACACAAAGAATATTAATTCTTTTTTTTTACAAAATTTTACAAAATAAAATCTTATGTACTAATTTTACAAATTTACAAAAATATTATGACGTATATTCACAATTTCCTCCAGCCAAAAGTTCCTTCAAATTGGGATCCATCTTGAGTAAGGCTGTCAATTTGGCTTCAGATTAGAGCAGGTTTGCCAATTTTCTTGGAAGAGTTAAGTTCTCTGCTGAGTATGTATTGGGCAGCAATTCACCTGTAAACCAATGCACTATAGTTAATTAACCTGAATTAAGTAAGTAACCTGAAATTAACTTGTAAGTAATTAAGTAAGTAATTAACCTGTAAACAAAAATAGCAGAAATTAATCTGAATTAAGTAAGTCACTACCCCACTAAAGTTAGCTCTACCGCAGGTGCAGGAGACTCAACTAAGGCTGTAAGCGAGCTCAGGCTTGGCTTCTAAAAAGACACCAGCGCACCAAATGCACCTGTAAACCAATGCACCAATGCACGATAGCCTCTCCAATGCACGATAGCCTCTGGCGAGCAAAAACACGAGTTCAAAAAAAGTACCAAGTGCTTGGCATATGAAAATACTTCAATATGAAAATACTTCAGAAAAATAGCTTCTAAAACGACACCAGCACAATCACACCAAATGCATGGGTAAGGAAAATTACCTGAAAACCAACCACAAAAATAACAGAAATTAACTTGAATTAAGTAAGTCACTACCCCACTAAAGTTAGCTCTATCGCAGGTGCAGGAGACTCAACTAGGGATGTAAGCGAGCTCAGGCTTGGCTTCTAAAATGACACCAGGACAATCGCACCAAATGCACCTGTAAACCAATGCACGATAG